TCAACTTCACATCCATTACCTCATCTTCCAAACCCTCCCATTGTTGGTTATGCACTATAGATAAAACTTAATACTGTAGTTTTTAATTGCAGGCTTATACTTCTCATCAAAATCATAACCCATCAACTTAGAAATCCATTTATGCTGCTCTTCCCCCATCAATTGTTGGTCTGTAAGAAACTTAAGACTCTTTTGGTCAATGTGGACTATGAAATGTCTTCCCAAGTAGTGCCTCCATTTTTGGATAGCTAAGAAAAAAGCAATTAATTCTCTATCATACTAACTTGCTATGGCCTTGATTAGTCAATGTTTGGGTCATGTAAGCCACTAGTTTCCCCTAGTGCATCAACATTGCTCCACTTTCTTTGCCAGAAGCATCAGTTTCCAAAACGAAAGTCTTTTCAAAGTTTGAAACAACAAGTACCGATAATGTAGTCGTAGCATTTTTGAGCAATTCAAATGCATCGTAAACCTCAAATCCGCACTTGAAATTATCTTTCTTCAACTACTGAGTCAAAGGCCAAGCCATCTTCCCATAGTTCTTAACAAATCTCTTATAATAACCAGTAATCCCCAAGAAACCTCTCAACCATTTTATATCTTTAAGAGCTGGCCAACTCACCATTACACTTATTTTATTTGGATCAGTGACCCCTCCATAGAACTAACATGGTCTAAATATTCCATCTTGGCTTGAGCGAAAAAATATTTCTCTCTTAGAATTTCAAGGATCATTTGCAAATGCTTCAAGTAAGTCTCCATAGCCATGCTGCATACAAATATGTCATCTAAAAACACTAATACAAACCTCCTAAGATAAGGTTTCAAAATATGGTTCATCAGGGCTTGGAAAGCGTTTGGGGCTTTGGTTAGCACAAAAGGCATAACCAAATATTCATAATATCTCTTCCTCTTTTATTCTAATATGGTGATATCCAAGTTTCAAATCCAACTTTGAAAACACTATCGCAAATCCTAACTCATCAATGACATGGATAGGAAATTTATCTGGAGTTGTGTCTTTGTTCAAAGTCCTATAATCTACACAAAAATCTCCAACCTCTATCTTTCCTTCTCCCCAAAATGACAGGACTAGCAAAAGGACTTACAGTTGGTTTAATAATTTCAGCTTGCAACATTTCATTTACAAATTTTTCTATCTCATTTTTTTGATAATGAGAATATCTATAAGGACATATATTAGGTATTAGTGCTCATTCCTTGAGAGGAATAGCATGATAATGCACTCTCTTGGGAGACAAACCTTCTGGCTCTTGAAACACATCAAGGAATAGTGTCAATAATGACTTACCTTACTGTTTTCAATAAATAGATTAGATATATGGCCCTCCCTCTATTGAACTTGAATCACATAGCCTTCTCCCACCTCTTATACTGCTTTAATCATAGTTTTAATTCCATGAAGTTTGGTTGCAACAAAACAATGGGTCACCTCTAATTACAAATTTGGTATTTCCTTGCTTCCACTTGAGAGTCAAATCCTTGAAATTGGCCTTGATATCTCCCAGGCTAGACAACCACTCCATTCCCAACACCACTTTTGTGCCTCTGAGATTCATAAAAAAAAAAATTGCTTAAGCACCACTCCTTAAATTTGTATCTACAACTCCTGACAACACCCCTTGAACACCACTTTGTCCCTAGTTCCTACCTCCTCAATGTACTCCGACGTTTCTATCAACTCCAAATTAAGTTCCTCTACTAATTTGTGAGAAATAAATTAGTAGACGCCCCTAAATTAACTAAAATCAACACTAGAGGTTGATTCAAAGTGTCGCCACCTCTTCTACTTAATCCACCCCCATCCAATGCACTACTTGTATCCCCTTCCTCCATTATTTCCAAGATAAAGTGTTTGAGTTTACAAACATGGTTATGTCCCTATCTCTCTCCACATTTAAAACCTAACCATTTCTACTTAATTCTCCTCGAGTCAACATTATTTTATTTTTGTTTTCTTAATACCCACACCTCCTACATTGGCCTTATTTTCAATATGGGTCTCAACTCCTACTTAGGACTTAGCTACATATGTTTTATTCCTCCCTTGGTCATTACTGGGCCCCACCTTCCACTTGTTTGTGTTGTCCCCCCACTTTTTTGTCACCACCTTCCCATTCAGTGTTGCGTTGTTCTTCTCTTCGGTGAGTAGAGTTTTATTCATCATCTCAATTAGTGTATGCGTCTCATGAGGCTTCAATTCTTCTTGTATTCCTTCTCTGAGACCATGTAGAAAAATGCTCGAAAGCATCATCCTTTCTTGTCTCTTTAAGAGAGGAGCCAGTATCTCAAATTGTTCTTTGTATTCCATAACAGTCCTTATTTGCTTCACACTAAGAATTAGACCCATAGGGTTCTGAACCAAACCCAATTGAAATTTCCTGATTACTGCTTGCGTCAACTCCTCCCAGCTTCGATCAATGGTTTGCTCCTCCCACCACTAATACCAGTTCAACACATGCCCTTCTAATGCGATCACTGCTGTGTCTAATAGTTCATTGTTGAACATTTTGTTGATCTAAAAATACCTCTCTACTTTCACAATCCATCCATACGTTTCATTTTCATTGAACACAAGAATTTCTAACTTCCTTCCTTGAGCTCGATGCCGACAAAGGTTACTACCACTACTTCTGTTTTCGCGAAAACCTACCTCTTCTTTGATCAGCTAACGCAACTCCTCCATCTAGGTTTGCTTTTCCACCCTCATTTCATGGAACTCGTGCTCCAATGCCTCCATCCTATTATCCAACCCTATTACTGTTGAATGAACCATATTCCCTCCATGATTGTTGAAATGCAGGCTTTTGATCAGAATCACACATGAGACTTGGTACTCCTTCTATCTGGAAAGAAAACAGTGAGATGTCGTTGGGTTTATGTTATTAAAGTTGGATCAAATGGTGAAATCAATTGTCTTAAGGCACACTTAGTTGTTAAAGAATACACTCAAATTTATGGTCTTGATTATAGCGATACTTTTTCTCCAGCGGCCAAAATGACAACTATTCGTTTATTTTTTGTTATGGCAACTATTCGTCATTGGTCACTTCATCAATTGGGTATCAAAAATGCATTACTTCATGGTGATTTAGAGGAAGAAATCTATATGAAGCAACCTCTTGGATTTGTTGCTCATGGGAAGTTAGGCTTAGTTTGTAAGTTACGTCGCTCTCTCTATAGTCTTAAACAATCTCTACGAGCTTGGTTTGAAAAATTTAGCCACATTGTTCAAACTTTTGGGTTGAAACGTAGTGAAGCAGATCATTTTGTTTTTTACTATCATACGTCTCCTAATAAATGTGTTTACTTAATAGTATATGTTGATGATACAGTTATTACCGAAAGTGATAATATTAGAATATATAAATTAAAGGAACACTTGTGCAAGCATTTCCAAACTAAAGATCTTGGGAGTCTCAAATATTTCTTAGGTATCGAAGTACCTCAGTCAAAAGAAGATATTGTAATATCTCAAAGGAAATATGTAGTAGATATTCTAAGAGAGATCGGTATGATTGATTGTAGAACAACAAACAGTCCTATGGATACAAATAAAAAACTAATGACTGAACAAGGTCAACTATTCTCTGTTCTCTGATCTAGAAAGATACAGAAGATTGGTTTGAAAACTTGTCGATCTTACCATTTTTAGACTTGATTTGTCTTTCGCAGTTGGTGTTGTTAGTCAGTTCATGTAGGCTCCTTGCATTGACCATTGGAATACCATCATCTGTAGGTATCAGAAAAAGGTTCCAGGACAAGGTTTGTTATATGAAGATAGGAACAACACTCAAATATTTTGATATTGTGATACTGATTGGGCTGGTTCCCCCTTTTGATAGGCACTCTACTATAGGGTATTGTTTTTTCCTTGGGGGAAATATTATTTCTTGGAAAAGTAAGAAACAAAATGTTATGGTCTGATCAACTATCGAAGTTGAATATAAGGCAATGACATCTCTTACTTGCGACCTTGTATGAGTGAAACAATTCCTTCAAGAGCTTAAATTTTGTCAAATCCAGGCCATGAAAATGTACTATGATAATCAAGCAACACTTCACATTACCTCTAGTCTAGTATCCCATGAGAGAACAAAACATATTGAGATTGATTGTCATTTCGTTCAGAAAAATTTGGTGACTAAGGAAATTTGTATTGAGTTTATTGGATCTAATGACCAACTTGCAGATGTGTTAACAAAATCATTAAAGGATCCTCAGATTGGGTTCATTTTGGTACATAAAATCTGTATGCTCCAGTTTGATGGGGAGTGTTGGAATTATTAATTAGTTGTACCTATCTCTGTACCTATATCTTCTAGCTCACAATTCTACCTCTTGACCTTCCATCTACTTAGTGTATATGTTCTTATCATTATAAATAGGATATCATAATAGAGGTGTGATTAAGCTCTCTAAAAACTATTTTCTATCTTTAATTTTATCTTAAGTGAGACCAAATACACTACTTAGCACCTTCTCTCACTTTACATGGATATCACCCCTATTTGCATCAAATGATTTGATGCACATAAAATAACTATATATATATATATATATATAGTTTCTAAACGCAACCTTATCATCGCATGCTCCATAACTTGCATTTGAACAAGAAACTACTCAATCCCATCTAAAGATATAATGGAATGAGAATATAGGTTCCATAGTTTATCTCATATACCACAATAGTATTGGTAGAAATTCAAAGGTTAAGAAAATACAAACAATCGGAAAAGAAACTTAGATCGTTCTTACCCCCAATGCAAAAGTTGACAATGAAGAGCTTCGAATAGTAATAAGTTCATAAGAATCGTTGTCCCAAAATAGACTTGAGCAAAATACCAAGTACAATGATATTGTTGTTATGAAAATGGCATGCATAGTTGATACAGCACTGCACAAAGAACAAAATTCTATTTACATCTTGTTTCACTAAGCCAAAAAGAAGTGTTTTTCTACTCAATAGTATCCAGTCACCGGTTATTCCACTCAATACGTTGAATTTTGGAGAAGTTGGAATAGATCTTAAAGTAATTAGAACCAATAAGTTGAGTAAGATCAAAAACCTGAAAAGTAGGAAAGAAAATAGTTAAAGGTAATGAAACATAATAACTTTAATGTCTCTTATATTGACATTCTTGAAGAAATTAGAATGACAACATTTTATAATGTAGATACCATCTTGCAAGCTAACATGCCACTGATAACAGATGTATATGGAATCAGAGAGTCCGCTAGTAAATATTCCTTAACAAACAAATTGGCCCGGTTCTGGTAAGATTTGAATGTCATAACTTCTTCAGAAGCCAACATTGCACCGTTACCCCTAGTTTGAGAAGCCTCTTGAAAAGAGTATAAGCTTTTCTTTCCACTTCTAGGCACCTATTACATGAAATACAGTTTGAAGGAAGATGTTGAAGAAATAAACCCAATAGGATACATCGCAGCGTGGAAGTTAAGGATCATAACAAGCTGCAGAAAAGTTATCAGTATCCATAGAAATAGGTAATTGAAAACAAGAGAGTGACTCATGTTTTAACAATGGAAGAGCTTTAGACATAATTCTTTCAAAAACATGAAAGTTTACAAAAATAACATGGCCTCCCCAAGATTCCACAATGTGTTTTAGCTCTCCCGCTGATAGAAAAACTCTATTAACAACTGTCTTTATATACCAAAGAAAGACACTAATTAAGTGATTAATTTTTCTAGAAAAACATTGCAGTTTTTTCCAGGTGAAATTTGATAAGCAAAGAAAACAGGATAAGGAATCCTCAGTATAGAAAACAATACAGAATATCATAACCCAGAAAAATTAGCATTAGTGTCAAAGAGCATTACAATATCCCTCAGCCTGGTTAACAAGGTGATTCCGAGGAAGAAACCACCCAAGCACATCAAAGAGAATAAGCCACGAAAACTATCTTCTCCTTGATCCTGCCTGTGTCTGAACATAACAAGTTTTCATCAAAAGATCCAGAATCTATATTCCATTTTCCAAACGTAGCTACTCAGCATTGTGAAAATAAATAACAAAAACTAACATCAACAGTGTCATTTATCCTCCAACCAACAAAAGGAAAGGAAAACTATTAAATCGCATTGCAAGACAATGAAATCATTTTGAGATGCTAGAAGGAAAAGGAGATTCTAAATATGCTTCAATCATGAACGCAGTTCATAAACAACGGAATTATTAAGGATAATAACACTAAATAACTAAAACCAAGCCCGATCAGTTACCACTCCAAATAACTATGCCCAGAAATGAATCAAGCTAGTCCTCTGAACATCAGTTACAAGTAAAGTATGAAAAGCGGATAATTCAAAAATGTATAAATAACAAAAACAGAATTACAGAGCCATTAAAAAAAAAAGGATAAATGCATGCACAAAATTAATAAACCTGAAGGTAAAAAATAATCATTTAGTATAAAACTTTAACATTTTAAATTGACATTTGGCAGTAAAAAAAAATGTAAGAAATAAAATAAATCACAAACAAATTCGACCCATAAGCAACAGCATTGCATTCCGATTAAAACCTTTTACGCTTCAACAATATTATGGATAAAATGTAACAATTGCCACCATCTAAATGTCCAAATCAACAGAACATGAGATGTGAAATTTATGCATTTAGAACAAGGGTCAAAACACCGTACCCTGAGGAACGATGCTGTGCAGTGGAGGAATTAAAGCTATGGAAGAATCGAGATCTTATACGACGTGTTTTGAGTTTCATTCAGAAAAGCGTAAATTAATTTGGGGAATCCTGGAAACCCTAGAAGGATGAACCTGATCAAGTTATTAGATTGAGATGCCCAACAGAATCGTTACATAACCGCCAACGGTTATTTTTGTGTTTTTATTTTTATTTTTGAGAATAATAAATTAATAAGACATTTTTATTATTTATTTCAATCCCTAACTATTGGTTTGTACTATTTTAGTATTAAATAGTCTCCTTCATATCTATTTAACTTGGATTAATTTAATTATAAAAAACTCGATTTCGACTTTATATAACAGAATTAGTGTTTGCCCTGATAAGATATATCATGATGCAGAATTGAAATATAAGGCTTCAATCTTAAAATTGTTGAGCCCAGTAATAATGATCGTTTTTATAACATCTGATAATTAATTAATGTAAAATTTTCTTTAAATATATTAAATAATATTTTAGATAATTTAACCATTTTTTTTAAAGATTTATTTATGTAAATAAATAAATAAATGGAAAAAATATATAATATATATTATTGTTAAACTATTAAAAATAAAAATAAAATATATTTAATAAAATGAAATAATTATTATTAATTAAAAAATATATATATATATATATATATATATATATATAATTAACAATAATTATTATTATAATACATTATAAAATTAATAATAATAATAATTATTATTATTATAATACATTATAAAATTAATAATAATAATAATTATTATATACTATTATAATTAAAATATATATATATATATAGATATAATATTGTATGATATATTATTATTATTATTAATAGGTAAAAAAAAAAACATTAGCTTATCTTATCGAACAAGAACAAATAAGATTTTATTGACCAAAGACTAAATTAATGAAGGGATAAGAAATATTAAATGAAAAAGAAGATTGTTACTGTATATAAAGGGGTACGGGTGGTGAAAAAAAAAATGAAAGATTAAAAAGGAAGAAAAGGATAAATAAAGAGAAAAGAGAGGTAAAGAGAGAAATCTTTGCAAAAAATTAGTACATCATTTGTAATTTTTAAGACAAGAGAGGAGACTATTATCATTTTATCTATTTTATTTTAATTATAGTTATGGAATAAGGTGTCCCTAACCTGATTCTATCTTTTTGTTACTTATTTATTTATCTTTAACTACATATTGATATACTTTAGATTTATTTATCATTCTCTAATCTTGCACTGGTCCTATTTTAATTATCTCCAGTTAGGTATTGGTCCTATTTATTTATTTTATTTTATTTGCAGTCTTGCACGATCCTATTTTAATTATCTCCAGTTACGTACTAGTCCATTCGTTTATTTTATTTTATTTCCAATCTTGTATTGTTCCTAATTTAATTATGTTTAGTTACGTACTTGACTTATTCGTTTATTTTATTTTATCTCTTGTTATGCATTGCTTCTAATTATTAATTTATATTTATATTATTTAATAATAATATATATTTATGAATATTTGATGATATTGTAGAAGGAGATTGAACCTTAGGAATTGAAATGAGTAGTTATCACTAAGCATGTGGTTAAAATTTGGCTCATTTATCTTGACTAGTCATTACAAATTTAATTTAAATCTTTATAACATAGAATGTGCTTGAGGAAGTTGAAAAATATTATATATATATATATATATATATATATATATATATAAAATTTTAAATGATAATTAGGCTCACTCCCTATTGTGATATTTTTTTATGTTATATTTAAATATCAACTTAAGTAGATGGAGACGTTAAATATCTCAAATCCCTTCTCTGCAAGCATCATGACCTTCTTTTCAGGAATTACTTGGAACATAAACGCTATTAACAACTCGGTTACTTTTAAAGGGACAAGGTTATCAATATTAACATTTGGATCCGTTATAAGAACTCCTATCATGCTAAATGGACCAATGGTAGTCACATTTTGCTTGTCTCTTACCATTTACCAAAACCTCTTAATTAATTTGTTTCCACCCATAATATAAATATTTGTATAAGTGTAGTCAAAATAGAAGGAATAAAAAATAAATAAAATTCTTTCTTTTTTATATATCCTGTAAAAAAAATAGTAATGTAAATTAATTTTATATATATAAAATATCTTTATTTTACCTACTACTCTTATCAAAATAAAAAAATGCCACAATTTCTACCAAAAAAGAATAAAATTACAAAAAATAATATTACATTTAGCTTAAAAAAGACTAATCAATAAACCACATATTTATTTTTGCTTGAGTTTAATATGATTATGGTAGTTAAATTATAATTAAAAATATTATCATATTTTTGGGTTTAAATTTATCTTTTTAAAATTGTATCAAATTTATTTTTTTAATGATATGTTAAAAATTATTTACAAATATTTATTTTACACTTTTTAGATATTTAGTCCTTAAACGTTTAGAATGGCTTACAGATTTAAATATTAAATAAAATTTATTAAATTATAATATATAAATAAATGCAAATTTTATTTATAATCGAGTGTTATGATAATTTAAAATATTAAACCTATAAATAAAAGTAAAATTATAGTGGTTGATTTGTATATTTTTATATATCAATTAGAAAATATTATAATAATTATTTCCCAATTAGTTAATATATAAAATTCAATAACCTGATTATATATACAATTTTAAGTAAACGATAATGTTAAAAAGAAAAAAGAAAATATATTCACCGTACTTAGAACTAGTCATTGGAATGTATATTATGATGATTCAACTTCAAATTAAACCGTTTTTAGATAGTTTATATCTTAATAGATCAAAAGACATGGACAAATTAAGAATAAGGGTGTCAAACTACATCCAATTACACTAGGGATGAACACATCCTCTCTGAACAAATAAAAGGATGAACAGAGAAACACACTTCTCAAGAAATAGTTCCCACAAGAAAACCCTTAGTTTGTAGGAAAAGAACATAAGAACAGTCACTTCTGGTAATGGAGACAACAAATTGTAGAAGCCTGTTGAAAAATAACTCAAAGAACACAATGTGATTATCAATGAAATCAAGCTATCCTGCCTTATTCTTGCAATCTTGCTTACTTCTAACTTACCTTGCCCTCCTAAATCTTGTTGTTATTCTCTTCTAATCTTTCAATGGCCTCATCTTCTCGTGTTAAGATCCCTACTAGAAGAAGATTTGCACCCTCCTCTCATCCACGTCCTAATTCTGTAGAAGGGTGGATTTCTGATACAGATGGACAACAAGAATTTCTAACCTACTGGAAGGAAAGGGCTATTATTTCTCCCAAGTTTCTTATTGGTGAGCAATTCATCAATAGAGGATTCAATTTTCCCAACCTTCTTGAAATTCAAGGAGTTCTTCCCTTCATCCAAATGCAAGGTACGTATTATCCTGACCTTGTTAGGGTATTTTACTCTAGGTTTAAATTTAGAGATCAAATTGCTACTTCTAGAGTAAAAGGTGTCACCATTATTCTTGACGATGATATTTGGGAAAACGTCGCTCACTTTCCAATTAGAGAAGATGCTATTAACATTTATGGTGAGCTAGATGATTTTGACAGGTTCTTAGCTTACCGTTCTTTTCTGAGAAATCCCTCCATGGAGATTGGACGTCTCCTTCTTGCTGGACCTTTAAAGAAGGAGGAACGCATGATTCTACATCTAATTGTCTGGATCCTATGTCCTCGGGCTACAAATCATGCCAAATGTTATTCAATTGATCTTAGAATTATTCATGCCATAATGAATAATGAACCTTTAGATTGGGGCGTTCTTGTCACAATGACCAAGTTAAAAGCAAAACGTCATCCCACATTCAAAATTCCATATGCTTTACTTGTCTCTCGTATTATTGAATATGAAAGGAGTAAATGTTGAAGGTGAACAAGCTGTTGGAACAAATAACTTGAACTGCATGCTGGACAGCACATTGATTCAACTCCAAATGGTGCGAGTCAATGATATTTATGTTCACAAAGATGACGTTCTAATCAAGGTGATGCTAATGAAGATTCTGATGAAGATATGCCTCCAGCTGCTGAGTTTCCCTCTGACCAAATCCAAAGTGTTGGAACTTCCTCTACTCATCATGAAACCCGACAATCCATGGAAGACATGTTATCTGACATGAATCAGAGGATGCAATCATTCTTTACTCTTTCTGGAGTACGGCATGAGGAGTTAATTCGCCGTATATCTGATGTAGATGATAAAGTGTGTCATTTAGAAAATAGATTTGATGCACACTTTAATGATGATGATAGTGCAGAATTTTAAATTTTGTTGATTATTTTCTTTTTGGTATTTTTTCTTGTTATTGTA